CGTTCGTTTTCGTGTGACCATGCTCAGAATTTTTCCGCATGGATTCTTATCCATGAAAATAAATCATGAAAGTGAGAATAATGCACTAGGATCAATGAAATAGATAGATGCATAAAAAATTTGACGCATATTTGTAGATAAATCGAACAGTTTTAATATTGATTCACACTAATATTGTTAATACTAATATAATGATTTATATATCAATCGCCTTCGATCCAAGTACGGTTAAGGTATTTTACAGGAATTACGACGATATGAAAATTCAACAAAGAAAATGATAAAATCAGGACGTGATTATGAATTTCTGCGGTTTTATTTATTATATGATTTAAAATCAAAATTTGTACGGTATCGATTATAGAAGAAAGGTCGTATGAGAACAAACAAATATAGACAGCAACAACTTTACTGTCGCAAGGAACGTCATTTGTCAAAATGGATAGTCATGATAACTACAGAAATGAAATAACGCTTGCATACATTGTGAAAAAGATGACAGGTGCAGCAGCTGGTCACATGCTTCACAATAAGGGTCACGTTGTTCAATTCAATAAACCGATAATTATAAGTAGGGATATATTAATTTGAAAAGGAGAGAGATCAAAGAAACAATCACTACAATGAGATACCCTCATGCAGCATACAATAAGATTAGTTATCAAATGTTAATATATCAAATGAACAGTGCATCTAACAGAGTTGAGCAAGTACAAGTGTATATACTCTTACTCGAGTATACTCAAGTACAAAATCTTCAGTGCTCGTACTCGTACAGGGTGGTAAATAATATTATTCAAGGGGGTAACGCTATAATTCTAAATCGGAGATATAATGAATTTTATACCAAATGAAAGCCCGTGAAAAATGGGATTTAGTGATGCTAAGACTTTGAAGGATTTTCATGCATTGAATTATCAAAAGCTACGACTTCTTACACAGCGAAAAAGCTGCATTGGGTAATTAAAGATAAAGGTGAATTTTGGACCGGTCAATATAGGAAGATATCGAACTGTTTGAAACTCTTTTATGTTCGTATCCATCTCGAATTCGTGCAGTAAAGAACGCGAATGGTCGCCATACTAGGTATTGATTGTACTCCTTAAGTAATGAGAAAATAAACTATTTTGCAACATATTTAGTTCAAACATGAACTGATTTTATAATATTTTGTGTTGATAAGATGTCGTAACTTTTGATAATTCAATGCACCAAAGTCCTTCAAAGTCTTACTATTTAGCATCACTAAAGCCCATTTTTCACGGGCTTTCATTTGGTATAAAATTCATTATATCTCCGATTTAGAATTATAGCGTTACCCCCCTTGAATAATATTATTTACCACCCTGTACTTGGGACTTTTCTTTACGAGTACTTAAAAATATACTCGAGTATTTTCGAGTACTTGAAATTTTTTCATTAGTATGCTGTACAAAGAATTTTTGGCCTTACGAATTTTGTATCTTCTTCAGACATTAAAATATTAATAAATAACTTAACATACAATAACCTATAATTAAAATAAGAACAGATCAGGCTATTTTTTCGTCTTTTATTATTATTATTATTTCCTTATCTTGAAAATCCATCTAAAAGAATATTAAATATAAATTCAACTGTATCAGAAGACTTAGAAAATTTTGGTAAAGAACAGAGAATGGACAATGACTTTATTTTAACGAAACATGAATAATATCTTCATCTATCAAAATTAGCTCTCAAATATTTTACTGTCCCTGCGATGTCCGCACCAATAGAGAGAATTTGTTCTCAAAGCGGCTTTATCATCCGCCCACATCGTTCAAAGTTATTAGCATCAACGTTATGAGTGTTAACATTTTTAAAATGCAATAACAATCTTCTAAAATAATGTTTCATTCTTGTATGTTCAGATTAAGTAAAACAAATAAATAATAAACAGTAAAATAAAAAAATTAAGACTAGGACCTAACTCTCCTTCAACTGATAGTCCGGAAGATATTGAAAATGGCTATTGTGAGGCAGTTAAACCTTTTTTCATGAGTATTTTTGCCCATCTCTGGCATCTAAGCAGTTCTTTTTTCAGTCAGTATTTTAGTTGTAAGCAAGGAAGAGAAACATTGCAATAGATATCTATTGTTATTCTCCTCCTTACACTGTTTAAAAGTACGTTCAATGATTCGCTGATAAAAGCAGGCGATGATCATATCCCATTTTCTGTTTGACATATATATACATGTCGTTCCTCTTATCAGATATCTTGTTGATGATGACTATAGTCTGAGTTGCAAGCTTCTATATTATTAAATAAATTAATGAATATACTGATTCAATATTAACAGATAGATTTTTTAAATTCGTTTGAGTATCAAGTTCATACCAAGAAAAAACAGATCTTCTCTATTTTCAGATTTAGAACGTTATAAGTTACAAAGAACAGAGTAGATACGTGAACTACAGACTTTACAACGCATACCTTTATTTTTATTATCATTCTAATAATAAAATATCTAAAAAACTATCTTTTGTTTTAACATATATACGCTAGCAGACGATCAGCTCCGTCTAAAACGTTGTGGTTTATCAGTACTGAATCAGAAACTTAATCAGTTCCGTAAAAACTGAAAATTATTTCGTATAAAAAGTTTTTTCTTCTCTTTCTTACTGATTCAGAACTGAATATCCTTATCAGTGCTTTCAGAGCTGACTCAAGTAACTATATGATGGAGAAGAATTGGGAAGTGTGCTTGATAGTAACAGTTATACCTTTCTACTCAAGACAACACTGTTTTTCAATATTTATAATAGTCAAATTTACCTAATTTCTGTACTATTTTAAGTTTTTCCCAGAGTCCACAGATCTTTGTTATCCACATGAAGCTTTTTTCTTCTAAAAACTAATTTAGAACTGAAAAATCTACAACGAAACAGCTCTTAAATTTTTGAAAATTGTCTTTTTCAGAAAACTCAGTTCTGGCCCCGTCACCAGATTCAGAGCTTCATGAGCTGGTCAACATTTTCGTCTCTAAATCAGAACATACATTTTAATAAGGTCTGATTCGGTCTTCATAAAACTGCATAGCTGATTCAGCCTTTTAGACCGAGCTGAGCGTCGACTAGTGTATATATGTGTATATATATAGAATTAAGCTTCACGCTTCAAGGAATTACGCAGAATCTTAAAAAACTTAATTTTCTTGAAAATTTTTGTAGTTTATTTGACTTCGTTCATGGGCATATAATTCTCTTTAGATATAAGCAAAAGTCCAGGCTATTCCTCGCATGTTCCAGAAATATTGGGACATTTGCTTCTGACAGTCTGTTGTCACGCACGCTTTCTTTCCCGATGCGGTAAGAAGTATCTTACCCGTATTGGGAAGATTTCCATACTTTTTTCTTTCAACAGATTAGCGCATAAATCAAAGCTATTTAGACGCTTATTTCACAGCGGCAAAAAACTGCATTAGATAAAGTTTTCTTTGAGCGATACGGTGCTGTCTTGTACGGTCAGAAAACTGATCGAATATATCCATTAATATACGGTGAATAATCAATGCACGAAAAGTAGAATGAACACTTCTCGCCCATTAGACGGCTGATGATTCTCGAGATCAGATCTTGCCTGATCAGGCAAGTGACAACGGATTATGTGTACGAGTTAAAATCAATATTTCCTCTTACATTAATAAATCTGTCTATTACCAGTATTCTAAAAATTTTCTTGAACCTAAAGAATTTCTCGAATTAAGCCTTTTTTTTAGATAACTGTGCCGCAAAAATCAGAGCACATGTCTATTAGATCCGCTATGACCGATAACCTCTATAAAACTATTAATAATTTATATAACGCTTAGGTAGTTTTCAAGTAAAACGGATTTAACGAAATCAAAACTTATTTTGCGTTTTTTAGCTCCAGAACTTTCGACATGTGCAGGAATTCTAGAAATAACGATACATTGGAGAAGATAAGCCATAGGTGTTTACCTCACCCGAGCTCTCTGTCTTTTACGTAGAATGAGAATTCTCCTACGTGATATTTGTATTTTATCAATGTCTACAATGACTACACATTTAAATACGTAAACTCTACCTCTTGCTTAATGGTAACTTCTGTACAAATTAGAATGTATTATGAACAGTATGATGACGTGTCTATGAGCAAAATAGAAGAATGGGAGATATTGGCTTTGAATGTCAAAAGTACACAAGCACACACACATTGCTTCAAATAGTCTTGGTATTCGGGATGGCATCAGATATTCTTTATCAGAACTTATCTATATCTAGTCTGTTATTATCACAGTGAGAATCGTGTCTCAAATATGTGTGTACACACTGATATATAGAGCACCAATATTTTGTATTTTAATCACGAAGAAAAACTGAACTATTTTGAAATATTTGAGTTTACAATCTCATTGCTTTTCTTTCCTTTGGATATAATAAAGCCTCTGGTCCCCTGCTTCAGTTACAATTGTTCGCTTTGTTCTGTTCTTCATTTATACATTATATATTTGCTAAAGATATATATATATATATATATAACTGTATGAATGAAATAGAGAGAATAAAAAAACATTTTCCAATGAGAAATAAATGCAGCAATATCTACAACTATTTAAAAGAACAAAATTACTAAATGCAGCAATTAAAGCATCGTTTTTTTGTATAATGTATACAAAACTATAGAAAAAAAAAAACACATCTAACCAATATAAAGTTGCATTAAAATGTCTCAAAATGCTCGACAATCAAATAGTCAGCAAATGGTCAACATGGTACTCTAAACGATTATCCTTCCTCCCCTTCACCACTTTTCAACATGTACTTGAATAATTTAATTGCCATTTTGAATAATTTTGTTGTTGCTTTCAATATAATTTATTTTGTCTTTTTGTATGTTTGAATAATAAATGTATACTTGAGACAAAATAGAATTAGCAATATAACACAAGCTAATTTGAATTTCTATGACATTGTATCATAACAGATATCACATAAGAGTGACATGAAAAGTTTCCTCACGTTGTATCATTATACATTCTTTCCTCTGGTACTAATTCACCAATAAGATATTTTTGTAATTGCCACCAAGCATTTTTACTATGAGGTTTATCAGCAAATGCCATTGTTGCATCAGTACCTGCATAATCAAGCATAATATCATAACCGCCAGGATGCTAAAAATAATGAATAATAAAATAAATCCACAATATTTGAGTATGAGCATAATATCAGACTACATACCTCATTAATAAACTCGGTTAAATCATAGACAAGATCTCTAATAACCATCCAACAATCATCTACTTGACAATGTGTCGACACATCTTTTAGCGTATATTGTTTGCGTTTTGGTTGTGAAATAAAATTAGTTAACAAAACGCTCTGTATATTGTTTAGCGCATCTAAAATAAAAACGAAAATAATTACTTTTCAAACATATTCCTCTATGCTATTAAGATAAGGTCATGTAGTTCTATAAATTACTTTGACTATCATAGAGTAAAACTTACTTATAAAATCCATATGTATTGAAGAATGTTAAACAAATAAATTGTATCAAACACTTAATATAGATCTTGAAGTTTAAGTAGGTTCTTTTTTTCTTATTGAAAAATATGTAATAAATAATATTTACGTATAGAATATATAAATGTTAATTAAATATATCTTGGAAATATTACCAAAATTAAAGTTTAAGTTTGAAAATGAGAGTATTTTGGACGTTTTGTGTTAGTATTTATAGGTATAAATTATATGATGAAATCGTAAAAGGGGTGTGTAGTATCAGAAATAATTCTATTGGCCAAGATACTTGTTTGTACATGTCGTTTCATCAGCTTGTAGTGAAGAAGAAAACTGGATTATTGCCAATTTGTGCATATATCAAAAGAACGGAAGAAAAAAGAATAGATTCATTCTATGCTCTTTACAAAAGTGAAAATCAAAAGAAAGAGATAGAATGAAAAAAGGAAAAGAATGAAAAAAATAACTGTTTTGCTTATGTAATATTACAGAACATGACAATACAGAAAAAAAATCGTTTAACTATTCTCCATCTGTTTTCATACTGTAAGAAAAATCATCATTAGCCTGTCCCACTCAAGGTAAACAATATAATTATTTCGACGATCACTGTTGAGTTGCAAATATGTAAACGTGAATTTTGCTACATAATTAACAATATGAGATTTTTCTCCTCCAATATCTTATCAAGAACATTCTTATCTACAGTGGGGAGTAATGATGACTCGTGTAAAATTATCTTACATTCAAACGGATCAGTTTTGTAAATAACTTCCTACATTACCCACAATAGGCGTTATCGATTAGAGGGTGGTAGGGGGTGGAAATCCACCCCCGTCGTTTGGATAAAACTACTCGAAAAATTTTGACTTACTCAGAATTTTGATTGAGAAACTGCCTCTTACGCACCTGAGTAAATGATTTTTTTTTGTCTTCTGAGTAACTCATTTATTTGCTCTTATACACCTGAGTAAGTGATCTTTAGGTAATTTACAATGCATAATAAATCAATACTTAATAAAATTTTGATAAAAAAATAATTAGACCATTAACAAAAGATATTAATGAAATTATTGAAATAACTAGTCTTTTTATTACATCTCAATGGTTTACTTGTTACCAAATTCTACTAACATATCCGCTAGGGTCAAATGAATGTGAAAGAAGTTTTAGTGCTGTTACACACATAAAAACTAAACTAAGAAATCGACTAGGAACAAACGCATTAGAAACAGCCGTACTATATATAATAATTAAACCAGATATAACAGACGAGGATATTGATTATATTGTGACAAACTTATATTCAAATCCGGGATGTGCAAAATCGAGAAATGTTCGAATCTATATTGATGAATAGTTTAAAAAAATTAATTAAATTCCATCTCGCTTTCTTCATATTGCTGATGAATCTTGTTTTGAAATAAAATATAATGGAGAAACGTCAGTCTAAGACTGATGTTTTTTCAGCTAATTGAAGACTGACGGACTTTAATCAGCTTAAAACATGTAGTTGCTTAGAAGAAAATTTTATTCAAAAAAATGCGTTGCTCAAGAAGTTATTCAGCAGACTCGCCACTCCCCACCAAAACTTCTATCGAAAACGCCGGCGCACATTGTTCTATGGAACCATCAAGCCACAACTACCGGTTACAAGAGTTGTACGTTACAAATGGCAAAAGACGTGATTGCCATTTCTTGAAAAACTAAGGCTTCACTAGATGGGTTCGCACGGTGGGACTCTTTTCTACATATTCATCATCGCTTGAGAGCGCAGGAACTTCTTGTCAGGTGTCTCTATACAGTGATTCGAAGACTGCGCAGGACCAAATCTAAACTTGGATAGATCTGTAGAAAAGAGTCCTGCGATGCGAACCCATCTATTTGATAAATGTTTTAATTAAAATTAGAGATTAAGTTCGTTTTCTTACATGTGCCATTCAAGTGTTTTGACACATAAAAGAAACAAGTGCTTTAGTTTTTCAGTTCTAAATAATGATGACCACTTTTGTACCGTTTCGAATACTTGAAAAAAGAAGACAATGATGTGATCAAAAGATGTCTTGCTCATGTACTCCATGAACTTGCCGTGTCTCACGTTATGTTACGTGGCAAGCAGTTGATGGCTACGTCACTAATCTGTCAGATGGTATCTAAAAAGCATCAACTATGAACGGCAGCAATATATTAGGGTAATAGAAATTTGAACTCGACAGAAGTGTCTTGGTCGAAACCGTAAGTCAATTTTGTCAAATTTTCGTTTAATCATGAACGTGTTACCCATCAGAAAATGGAAGCAGTTTAAACAAAATTATGAGAGGGTATTACTACATGCAAATAAGATATACCAAAGATGATGCTGATGGAATTCCTTATAGCTAGTGAGAACTGTCAGGCAATATTAATTGCGTTCGTTTTCTCGTTCGGATCGTTAAAAGTAAGGAGTATTTTTGAAGTTCAATCACGTGGAAAACATGTCATAATCAGTTCAAATTTGAATTTTGACTCTAGTGGAAATTTTAGCCTTGTGAAAAGTACGTTTTTCTATAGTGGAACTTTAACCTTAATCGATCTTGGGTCACACGATGGTGAGATGTTTTCTGCTGATAAACATTTAGTCTAAGTAGCTCAGATAAGAGTAGAGGATTGAATAGTACATTTTCTATATGCGCAATCACCTACACACTACACATTTACACATTCTGTATGTGTGTAGGTGATTGCGCCATTGAAAACAAGAGAGTAGGTGATTGCGCTAGAGAAAAAAGAAATGCGAAAGTCACCCAAACAGAGCACAGTGGGCAACCATGCGAATATTGGCGGATATTATTAAAAACTAAAATAGTCCTTTTTGACCATTCAAATCATGCTACATATACTTCGGACCACAGGCTATTTAACAGCGTAAAAGTTTTTCCTACAAAAATGGTGAATTTGCGGAAAAAATACATGACTTAAAAATAGGCCGTATTTTTGCAACCGCTATAGAAAAACAAGTTTTTCTTTAGATTTTACCATTTTGAAATTTGCAAAAGTATATATTCGGAATTTAGGACCTTTTAGCGATCGGTACATATAAAAACGTTTTCTTTTTTTAAAACTACAGAAAAATATTAATTGTGTTCATTTTCTCGTTGGAGAAAATCCATCTTTCTCACCACAGACGCACTTTCATCAAAAACTAATGATATATTGAGGATCAACGCATCGAACTACATCGACTGATATGTCACTTATATGTTTTTATGCGTAAAAGATTATTTGATTTAATGAAATAACAGATTTACAGCACTACTGTAGCAATTTGGCTAGGCATGTGGACATGTGCTCAAGGTTCGTACTATCCACTTCCAGATAACAGGAACAGGAGTTCAAGAGCAAAAATGTTCTTTTTTGGGAAGTGATTCCCAAAACAGCACACTTTTGCTCTTGGACTTCAGGAGTCCATGGGAGTCCAGGAGTCCATAAAAGTCCATAGGAGTCCGCTATTTCCCGCTTGGGTTTATCACAATGTGTTAAACAATGCATTGCCACACATAAACCAAAAATTCACTTGTTCTTTAAGGTTAAATCATTAATAAAGATTTAAATAATATTTAGAAAAATGTTCTACAGCATTAACCCTAGTAGCATTCCCGCTTCATTTCGTGGCAAGAATACAGCCTCATCTTGCCGCGATTTTGACAAGAAATTTGAAACTTAACGCGATCGCACCTAATCATGCTATTTTTCCCGTATAACGAAAATTTCATAATCTTGACACGAAAATGTTTTTGACGCGATCACGCTGAAATCCTGCGAATATCATGGCAAGATTGAAACGGGATTCGAACAAGATAGGGCAAAGGAAAATTCTACTCAAGATCTTGTCACGAATTACACACGAACTTGCCAGAATCCTGCCGCAATCCCGTTACACTCTTGAAATACAAATCGAACGGGATCTCATAACGAACTTGATCAGAAACGCGATTACAGTTACAGTGATCGCGATTTTATTTTGTCAAGATCAGCATTTTTTCGTTACACGGGAAAAAACCGCGTTCGCGGTCAGATCTCAGCAAGAATGGAACAGAAATACCACTAGGGAAAACATAGTCAGAGATAATTGTGTATAGCTTATGTCTCTTTTTAATTATCCGTCCAGTATTATTATTGTTGTTTTCGTTCATATTCCTCTTTTTCTATACGTACAGGGTGTCACATAACCATTACGCCCCCCTCTAGAACTTAAAGTATAGATGATATCAGAGAATGTTATATACCAAACTAATCCTCAGGAAAATCTGGATTCAGGAGGGTAACTAATAGGCCGTACGGCAACTATTGAATATGGAATTGTTTGAATATTTTGAGCAATACTCCAAAATACGCTTGTATTTTACAATTTTCATTCTTCCTGTATATTTTCTCATAAGAATAATAGCAGATTCGTGATCTCCATCAAAAACTGAATATATAGACATGCTATTCGCATGTTTTTGACAAAAAAAAGTTTTTCGAAAAAAATCTTGGGGGGTACCCAGGGGAAAAAGCATTTGGAAAGTGCGGGCACATTCCAAATCTTACAGATATATATAGTAGATTGTTTATTAGATCGGATCCAGTTGTACGTTATACAATTATCAGATCATACAAGAAAAGAAAAAAAGATCAAAATAATGTAGTTTCTACGTGGATCGTTCGGATCTGTAATCAGAACATGGGAGGCATAGATTTGCTTGATATGCACATTTCGTTGTAGAGAAAAACTAGAGCGAAATGTATGAAATATTACAAAAGATTTTTCACTCATTCCTTTGACAAATTTTTCAACAAATTGGTCAATTCAATGTTCGTATATAAAGCCATTTAAGCAAGTGATATTACTTTGCTACAGTTCAAACTATGGCTAGTAAAGAATTTGTCGAATAGTCACTCAGAAGCCACTATCGTTGAATTTCCTCTTTCAGCTCCTCATTCAAGTGGACCAAAGTTTGTACATAAAAATATTCGTTTTG